ACACACACACACACACACACACACACACACACACACACACACACACAGGGAGAGACAGATAGTAATTGTCAAAGAGTAATAAAGGAAGAGAAATGTAATAAAAAACCAATTTACACACATACAAACACAGGCACGCAAGCAAACACATGCATGAATGCATGTATGCACGGTTGTAGAAGCATATATCCGGTTTTCATGAATGCACCTTAAGCATCATTTATAATTACGTTCGCACATGTGTGCATAACTTTAAATTGAACAAATCAGGGAACGAGATAATATTATACGCAAGTACTATTTAATGAAGTATAATATTCAGTTTCGTGTGTCAGAGCAACGAGTATATTCTACCTCGTCGCAGCGTAGTGAGCATACAAGTATGTATGCATTCATGCACACACACACACACATCACATCGATGATAATGTCCATATACATATGAATATATTTGTATTTACTTAGCCTTAACACGTTTATACATATCTCGTTATAATTGAGTATATGTAAAAGGAAGGAAATGGCCAATGGTCAAGTTAAATACCCTTAAGGGCTTTAAAAACATTAATGAACACACATATGACATAAAGTAATGCCGGAGTGTGCATTACGGTAAGTATATGTGGACTTATGTATGGTTAGGTTTGGTATCCATGCGAACGTATAGATAGGACACTATTCGAATGTGTAGTAGTGTCGTTCGTGGATATTTAAATTGAGGTTTCTTTTTAATTTAATCCCCACACGCACCCACATACATATAAACATATCCGTTCACACTTTGCTTTTATCAAAGGATAATGAAATTAAAAAACGAAGCGGCACAAAATGTAATTAAAAAATAAAAAAGCTAGAAAATGATAAAATACAAAGTTCAATGAAATACAATTAAATGTATATATAAATGTACATACATACATACATATATATATATATATATATATATATATATATATTAATATTATTATTTAAAATTAATATATATCATATATATATATATATTAGTTTGGGGAAAAAGAAATCCATTATTTTTATATGCACTTCAGGACTTTACTTAACATGCTTCGGATTGTCCGATTTGGGTCAAATATGCACCGTTTT